TTATTGTATATTGATATGAGATTCTCTTCTTTGTCAATCTTGACCTTTATAGTGCTCATTGAAGGATCTCGAATCTACCATAAATGACAAATGGCATAAATGAATGAACGTTATTTTGTGTATATATTTTCATAAAGCAATAAAGTTAATACCTTATTGTCAGCAGCGTTAACCAATATTTCATCAACGATCTTGTAAAGTCCGGGGACTATAGTTACATCTTTATATACCATAGAATCCGTCTCCGAGTCGTAAACCCAAAGTTTTTCAGTTACAAATTCAACAGACCCAATGTAAGTGTCTGGTCGTAATAAAATATGCTCAATTTGTGTCTTCTTTTGATATATTTCTTCTACAGTTTTTCCGCTGTGTAAAGCGTTTGTTTTACTTGAAGGTCCATAGTCACTGTTGCCTTCACCTTCGGCATCACTTTCTATATTTTTTGTCGGATTGTAATCGCTTCTGTTCCCGTCGTCAGAAAAGTTAGAAAAGCCTGAATCATCACTATCTATATCAATAATCTTTTTGGTTGTTCTTGCTCTTCTCGTTGGCAGTTGATTCGTTGACATTCTTAGTTGTTTTTTTTATTTGTCAGACGCGTTTCATTAAAGTTATATATACTGATTTTGACGTGTCACCAGCATACATCACATGATCTCGTCACTAAATTAGCCGCGTTTTGTACATTTTTTTTTTATCAAAACATTATTAATTTTTAGCTTGTATTAATCAACAGTCAATGAGCATAATAGGTTTAATTGTTTTACAAATTTATGCCAATGCAAAATTTTTAGTAATTCATTAAAGGACAATTAGGAAAAGACGTAGCGTAGTGATAGTGACAAAATTTTGGTTACTTACTTTATTTAGAAGTATCATAAATTATCAAAATACGTGGCCGCACTGATTAAAAGATTCCATTTATCATACTCTACTTCGGTTTAAGATTTTAAGATATATACTATTTTATATAGCATATTTTTAATATTGTAATACTAGTACCGGTATATACTATAATTGTGGTGCAACCATGATTGATTCACAGCATTGATAAATTAAAATACAGTCAATCATCCCATAAATGCATGTATATATATGTTTGCCTTACACTAAGTTTCAGTCCCAGTCGACAGCAGCAACAGTAGCTAGTATCATGATTGTAATGTTTTACAGTCATTATTCCTGGGAGAGCCGATGTCGGTAACTTATCGATTCGGTCATTGGAAAATTTTTCAATAATGAAAATAGTTGTAAATCGATCAAGCCAGCTTTTAGCCGGCTAATTTATACATATTGCAACTATTTTCATTATTTCTGAGACAAATTGCCGATGGCCAAATCGATAAGTTTTCGGTGTCCGTCAATGCCGGTAATTATAGATTCCGAATAACTAACTTATTGACTCAGAATAATGAAAAATAACCATAATATTTCGATCCAACAATAATCATATCTACATCTCGTAATATGCTAAACTATAATTGATCTAGAATCATTCAGTCAGAGGTTGTACCTATATTAAATTTAAGCTCCGGTTTACTCACCCGTTTATAACTTGTTAACTGAGTTACAAATCGGATTGAGTAACCTGGGTGACCCGAATCAACTTTAGCCTAATCCTCATCTAACAAGGTTGCAATAT